TTCAAGAACACATAAATTGAGGTCATGTTACAGGTACGAACGTTTATTGTCTAATATCTAACAAAAATAATTTTTGAAAGCTTTTACTTTGTGTTACCGACATAATATTAGCGCACTTTACGACTTTACCTTATGCAGTAACTGGTTAGCATAACTATAATAAGTCACAAAAAAAAATAAAATTATTTATTACAACTGAAACGTCTAATAAAACTTTAACATTGTCAATAGATCTGTTGACACTGTAATCATTATCAACACTGCAGAACAGTAAAGTTGTTTTATCAATAAGAGAAATAACTTCTGTCACTATCTAAGAAAATAATAACAGGAAAAATCTTATGCATTTTGCTTTTTACTAAAAAAGAAACTGGGAGAATGATGTAACATAATAGAGTGAAATAAAAAAGACCTAAAAAGTGATTTGAAATAAGCAACTGTTGTTCGTCAAAAATGGCAAAAGAATCTGGTTGCTTATGTCAGTGAGACAAAAAATCGACTGTAGAGTCAAAGTATCTTGACATACTGAACAGCACACGTTTTTGTTGTCTATTATTAACCTTTAAAGAATCGTATTTGTTTTACTAATGAAATTTTTTACCCGACTTGTCAGCAGTCAACGTACGAAACATCTCTAATAAGGGCTAAAAAAGAAATAGATCGATTTTTGAAAAATTCTTTTTGCTTTCTGATACGGTTCTTATCCTTGTATTATTGACGTACTGTTGGAAAATATTTTAGTTTTATTCCTCGTTTATGCCAAAATACGAAAAAAAATAAACTACAACTTTGTAGTCCCAATTAGTCTAAGTTTAGCATCCTTGTTGGCGATACAGATTTGACGGTATAATGAACAAATCAGTCAATCAACCTTGTTGCCTTATTCTGGTTGTTGTCATAGCCAAAAAAATGCACATTTAGTTCTCTGTCTTGTCAAGATTTCACTTGCTGGGGTTTAATTTTGCTGATTTTTTTTTCACCTTTTGTTTTTATCCTAAAGATTACATAAAACTTTAGCAAGTAATATAACAAAAACAGTTCTCTCTTTTTTTTGCTTTACTGATGTAACTCATCGCTAAATTTTTTTTAGTATACCGTTTAGTCAATAATTTGAAATTTGTCATCCTTTTTAAAAAAAGAAGAAAAATTTTTTGGCTTCTCAGTGCTTTCTGTCAACATGTCAGAAGTAACAAGAACTAAACTTCAAACAATCTTTAAAGCAGTTCTTACATTTAGATTTAGACTAAGCAGATTCTGTGCAATCTTTGAGTGTAACCATTTACTGCAGTTGCGCCTTACCAGACAATGAAAACTTGATGAAGATTTTCTAAAATTCTTTCCAGTTTGTTCGGTTGAGGTATTTTTTGCTTTGTCGCTTTACTGTATTATTTCTATTGGTTAGAATAGCACTGCATAAAGTCTATATAGATGTTGTGAAAAAGATGTATCTTTAGACGTGCGAAATTTAACAAGACCCTATTTTTAGCGTTTTTTTTTGGAATAAGATATTATAAAATATGAAGAACCGAAATTTTTCACAACTGCTTTTGTTTATGTTGCTATTGAAAGCGTCAAGAAAAAAAAAATTCAAATTTTGAAAAAAATTTTACTGGGTAAATTGTGTCAAGAAAGAAAGCAAGTTAGCACTGTTGGTATAACTGGAATTTGGCAGAGGAATATGAGTAAACAGGTGTAAAATTTAGTAGATAATAGTTGCCAGAAATTTTTTAATATTTTTGATGCTAATTTTATTTTTAACAGATTATGTTTTCTGGCTAAAAAACGAATCGCCAGTAGCGACATAAAATTCCACTGAGCAGTTTATTACTGTTCCTCAAAGTAAGCGCTAAGTGGAAATTTGTTACAACAAATAACTCTGTGACTTATTAAAATCACATCTTTCAACATGGCTTTTAGCAATTGCTTTAAAAAAATACGGTTTTATATTTTATGTAGAAAATAAAAAAGGCATATTAGCTCGAAAATATAATATTATATGAGAAAAAAAAACAGTTATTACTCATAATTTATTCACACATATTTTTACTCTGAAGTAGTTTTTACATTGCCGGTGAATGCTGGAATACTGATTTGCAGACCCAAAAATATGAGAAGTTTGAACGCTTAACCAAAACGAAACAGGCGATATGACAGCTTTGACAACTCGACGAAGTCAAACTTACAGCTGAACGACCCAAAGTGGACTGCGACACAACACCGACAGCTGTCGAACATTGTTTGCGAATTTGAATACTGTTGGTTAGTTGCTTTCACAGACTATCAGTTAAGCCAAAAAAGCTATCAATGTGCAAAAACGCTTAAAAGGGGTACTTTGAAACAACTGTATCGACTGCCAGTGGTTTATGCAAATTTGTGGCACACAAAAAATTGTCTGAAACCAACATTCATTTATCCTATTAAAATTGGCAGCAAACCTCTGTTCTCAAGCACCAAATTTAAAAGCCGTTAGTTATTTTGACCAACAACATAATGTGCACTGATTTTAACAACATTTATTTCAGAATTAAAACAAACAAAACTGAAAATATTTTTATTATTTATTATTCACTTTTATTTTCCTGTGTTATATAAATTGATAGTTAAAAATAATGGAAAAAAAAAGTGAAATAGGAATGTCGGTAAAAAAGCAGTTCTGTCTAAACGTTTGTATTCGCAAATCCTGAACAGTATAACAGGAAGGGCCTAAAGGCAATCCAAAACCAGCAAAGAATTAAATCTATCTTTACTACTGAAAGTGTTCTTGAAGTTTTTCTGATAAAACAGTCTTGTGTAATGCTCGTTTATTAATCAGCTTGTATATTGTTGGTAAAACACTGTACGATAACAACAAAGTGCACAGAAATTAATACATTTTTATGTTTTTAAACATTTTGGTAAAATATTTTAAAAAATTTAGAAAACTTTTCAAAATAAACAATTTATTTATACACGTTTATATTTATAAAATTTTTTATTAAATTTTTAGTATAATTTCCTAAAAAATAACACATCTTTAAAAAAAATAATGTTTAGTTGTTTTTAAAAAAGTTTTATTCAAAATACCAAGTAATCATTTCTGCTGTTTGAAGAATGACGTTTTATTTCACTCAGGACGACATTTTCTCACTCGTGGCACACATAAAATAGATACAGAATCTTTTCACATGCCACGATTACGGTCGATCTGTTCTGCTTAGTCGGTGATGAAAAATTTACAAATAAATCAAAACCTAACTTTGTAACTTTTGATGGCTGCAAACATACTCAACGGCATACTGGTGAAGGCTTCTAACCCGAGTGTATAGAAACCAAAATTCAGCCTAGTTTCTTTTTTGCAAACCTTATTCGTCACAACCAACTTAAGACTATTGACCCTCTATCACTGTAGTCTAAGTTTCGCACGAAGATTTTTACAAACCTTACTCTTAAGTTCAGAAGGATTTACTATGCATGAGTGATTGAACAAACATTCACAACTAAGTTTCTACGGTTTATTTTTCACTTTGGTGCAAATTTGCACTTGAAATCTTACCAGATTGAAATTTTCTTTGTTGCAAATTATGCGTATTCAGAATAGAATAGATAAGGGCTGTCACAAAACCAGAAACTGTTTTACAGTCTATAACTGATTTTTTACAAAATTTACTGTTTTTAGTTTTTGACTATCTGTGATGCGTTCACTGACACTTATAACCGCAAAAAATATAAAATTTAGCACTCGAGGAAGAGAAGCAACTAAAGAAAGACTAATAGCATATCGATTTACTTATTAAGCTTAATTTTATTTCTTTCCTATCTTACCTCGAGTCTTTTGAAGAACTTATCTTCTAAATCTTCGTAACGTTTAATCAACTTTACAGGCTGCATATGCAAAAATCCCATATTTCTTTCATAAGCTTCGCATGCGAAAAAGCGTCTTTTGAAATACAAAAACACGGCTCACTGTGGATAAGGCAAAGGGGAAAGTTATTTTGCTCTGAACAGCAACTTTTCTGGAATATAACTTCTATCTACTTTTACAATTTTTGCTGTATGTATGAAACATAAATAAATAAGTAAATAAATACATAAATAAGTAAATAAATGAATAATTATATATATATAAATATATATA